CTGCTACCGTTCGTCCAAAAAGAAAAAACGTGCAGTACTTTTGGGACAACCTATGTATGAATGGAATTTCAATTTATATGAATAGAATTTCAACTCTTATGAATAGAATTTCAACTTATATGAAAAGAATTTAACTCATATGAGCAGAATTTCTGTATTCACTTTTCGCCGACTCGTATGACCAGAGATTCAAACTCATATGACTAGAGATTTCAACTCACACGAGTTCAGCGTTGAATCTACCGTGTCCGATATCTCAGAAACTAGTCACCGCATCAAAAAAATTATAAGAACAAAATGTTCTTATTTTTCAAATTTACATACAGTGTCGGTGTCTCCTGGTAAAAAACACCACTTCTGAAAAATGAAAAAAATTGAATTCATGAGTTAAACTTTTCTACTCTTGTGAGTAGAATATTCTAGTTATATGAGTAGGATTTCTACTCATACATATATAAGTAGGAAATTCTACTCATGTGAGTCGGCGAATTCTGAATAGCCTACTCATCATTTTTAGCAGGGAGTGGTTCCTATTGCAAAATGCAATCCAAATGTCTCAATGCACCTCGGCACCATTTTGCGACACCTAGAATTTGGGTAACATTCCGGACCACACGATACTGATGATCTTGGAAATCCTGGTGTTTTGGTAGTTTAACCGTCGGCATGTACATCATAAAATGGATTATATTCTGCAATAAGAAACCACTATTTCCGGCCCACTTTAGAAACAACATACACGTCATTGGTTTCCCAATGCAGATACGTGCTTTAAAAGAGCGCCAGAGAAAGTGGTTCCTATTGCAAAATGCAATCCAGATATCTCAATGCACCTCGGCACCATTTTGCGACACCTAGAATTTGGGTAACATTCCGGACCACACGATACTGATGATCCTGGAAATCCTGGTGCTCTGGTAGTTTAACCCTCGATATGTACATCATGAAATTGATTACATTCTGCAATAGGGAACCACTATTCCTGGCCCACTTTAGAAACAACATACACGCCATTGGTTTCCCTATGCAGATACGTGCTTTAAAGGAGAGCCAGAGAAGTTGCTCCTTTTGCAAAATGCAATCCAGATGTCTCAATGCACCTCGGCATCATTTTGCGGAAACTAGAATTGAGGAATTTGGGGAAATTTTTTGGAGGAATTCTAGAATTTGGGTAACATTCCGGACCACACGATACTGATGATCCTGGAAATCGGATCGGGATAAGACCCGTCTGGGCCCAACTCGGTCCAACCCGGATACTGATCAAACAACCGCGGGAAAAAGCTCAACTCGGGGCAGACGAGGCCGGCCGTTGCATTGCCGATGACCCCCTTCAACAAGACATCATCGACCCTCCTGGTAACAGCCTGGAGAGCGGACACAGCGACCAGCTCCGCGAATTGTAAGACGAAACAGGGCAAATTGTCGCCCTCGAAAAGGGTGCGAATGTTCAAGAGCCCCCCGGTGAGATCCGTGAGGTCCACTCCGGTGAAGGTGTTGACTGCGCCAGTGTTGCCCCCTATAGAGAGGAACTCGGGGTACTGAACAGCGGCTTCGAGGAGGTCTTTGAGGAAAAACACCTGGCCGTATTCGTCGCCGACGGCGCGTCGATACCAGTTGGCCGGGATCTCTTCGTGGCCGGGCTTGTAGCTGAAGTTCCCGCGATCCCCGCTCACCCCGAAAAAGGACTTCAGGACCTGTCATCGAGGAAAAAAGTTGTAAGAAATTGGATGAATGGACCACTCTGCGATATTATAGAGTACATAGAGTTGTAATGTAAGTGGGAGAGATGGCGCCATGTTCTGCTCGACGCATTCCGAGCCCAGTGTGCGCCGAGTTCGGGTCGCTTTTTCGATACATTTTCGATCCAAAATGGCGGTGTGGAATACGTGGTAATTCCTATCTCCTTTGTTGTTGTTGTTGTTGTTGTTGTTGTTGTTGTTGTCATCGAATGGCCGGGTACCCGTGTATCGCAAACAATCGATTATGTATCGAAAAAGTGACCCGGCGCCACACAGGAGTCTCAGAATTCGGGACATGGAAAATGCTTAAAAGTGGCGCCAGCTCTCCCAATTACATTACGACTCTATGCACTCTATGTGCGATATGCATTAGATAGCGGTGTCACGACGTTTAACCTCCAAACATATTATTTTCCACAGGACATTTGGACGTATCTCTGTCAAACGGAACTAAGCGCCATAGGGGGAAGAAGGTAGAGGGGGGCTTCGATTGGCGGCGGAACCGGGCGTCAGGCTCATTCCGTCCTATACTTGCAATGCTTTTCCATGGCACTTAGTTCCATTTGACAGAAATACGTCCATTTGACCACACCTACAGACATTTGACCGAACAAAGACCTACAAAAAGTTTTACTTACAGTATTTTTGACCTCCAATCAATATACCCTACAATAGATTTGACGTACAAGTGACCTACACAAATTGACCTATACTGAAAAAAAAAGATCGGTAGAATTTACTATTCCTTCACGCTGTATATCACACAGCGTCAATTCAGAGTCAATTCTGCCAGAAGAAAGGTGAGTGTTACTATAAACTGGTAATAAAGGTAACCATTCCTCCAGCAGAATCGACTTTAAATTCACGCTGTGTGAAATACAGCGTGAAGGAATGGTAAATTCTACCAATATTTTTTTTTCAGTGCACACTTGACCCACATAAATAACACTTTTGAAAGGTACTTAAAAATAGATCACCAAGAAAACCAAACGTAGAAAAGTACAAAAACACATGACGCGCCTTATTCTACAGGTCTAAATTATTACTTGATCATCACTACTTCATCCATTTGTAGGTCAAATCGCTTGTGGATCAAAAAAATTGAGGGTAAAAATTTTGGTACGTCAAATTGATTAGGTCAAACGTCTGTGGATAATATGTCTGTAGGTCAAACGTCAGGTAATCATGAGAGCCGTTAAGTCTCCAGTTTTCGAAATCGAGTTTCCTTCAAAACTCTTCGAATCTTTTTTAGACGAGATCACTGAAATAGCTAAAACAGCAAAATTCGTTTTATTTTTATGAAAACGTGACATAGTTTCGCCCGGCTGACAAAAGGGTGCTACTACACATTGATATGAGCCCGGAAAAGCATTAAATTGTATCGCCGAAAAGGTTTTTTGTTGACCGTGGCGTGCTTTGCGATTTATCGATTGATCGACTTTTTAAACCTATGGAAAAGTATCGTAAGCAGGGTCACCTTAATGATCGATTATTTACCACAGCTTTAAATGGGGAAATATCGATAGATCGCAAAGCATGCGGACCGTACCGTGCTAAGGAAGAACGCCGTATGAACATTCGAGAGTTGCCAAATTTCCCTTGATAAAACATGTTTTTCTTACAACATTTATGCATATTTTTCCCTGAAACTTTCAGATATTCTAGATTAAATTGCGTACAAAATTGTTTGAAAATTTTGGAAAATAATATTCGCAATTTTCCCAGTGAATTCCGTCTTTATCGGAGGAAACTTGGCAACGTCTGAAGGCTCATACGGCGTTCTTCCTTAGCACGGCAGCGTAGTTACGTCCTTTGTATCAGGAGGACGATTATATGGACGTTTAAATGCTAAAAGGAACCATGTCCCACGCAAATCCTATGGACATAGTTCTTTTTAGCATAGATACGTCCAGATGAGGAATCCATAAGTACGCTAAAAATGACGCAATTCCAGACAAAATACCCGTAAGGTGCAATATTCTTCCGGGGAGTCAATGAAAACATTGCTTTTAAGTAAAATGCGTAATTATTATACGCTATCATTTACGCATTATACAGCATCATGCATCTTTTAAGACGCATATCACTTCGAAGATTGTGATGTTATGTGTGGTTAAGTGCCCTGGTAAAAATTGGCAGTAGAATCTGTGTTCCAAAATACCGTAGACCTACGGTCGGCTGTAAGATTTCCAATAGCTTCTGTAGCCGGCTACACAATTTCTTATAGCGTTTTATAGCCGATGGCGATTAAGCAACTCACAGCCAGGCGATAAAGTGTATGTTGAACGTCACTCATTACGGATGCTAGGACTTAGTGAGTTTTTGGACCACTGCTCTCTTTTTGGGCCGTAGTATCTTGATTTATTTTGCGAGGAAAGCTCCGTACTTTTGATGGATGCCTGCATTCCTAATATATTAGAGCGCCTTCAGTTTCGTATGATACTGTGCAATACCTCTGGTGTGAAATAGTTGCTTCAAGCGCCGTGACACTCTGCGGTGCGGCAGCCAGCGCGGAACGCGCATTAGGCGCCTACAAACCTAACAGGGATACTTCACGCGTTGCACAATGCGTGAAGTCTCCCTGTTAGGTTTGTAGGCGCCAGTGCGTCGCCGCTCCTCTTCGTGTTAGGCTCTAATATTTAATCTGGCGGAGTCAGCGTTATTCAACTCATGATTTTGAAATGTTTGCACATCCTGTAGGGATTATTCTCGTTTTAATTGATGAAAAAAAAATATGTATTAAAGGAAA